TGGTTTTCGTTGATGTTTTGGGTTTAGTTTGAGCGAAGGTCGGTGGGCAATCCTCTTGCGACATCTTCAACTACTGTCCTTGTTCTATCTCAGGTTCCTTCCTCAAATCATGGTTTCCACATGCTGTACTCATGTCCCCAGTTTCTGGATTTTGTACTTTGTGGCAAGATCAGTCGTACCATCGATCTCTGTCACAAGGCCATTACTGTTGGTTCCATGTCCAGCTTGACCTTTGGGGGGACCTTCTCCTTTGGCCACCTGGTCGAACAGAGTGGACAAAGCACAGCTTCGACATCCAAACCCCATGCCAGACATGTTTGTGGAAACTGCGGGCTGTGGTTTAGGGCCATGTTCTGTGGTACCAAGAGACTCTTCTTTCTGGTCAAGGCCCACATTGGTATCCGGCCTTCGAAAACTAGGGACCCAGCGTGAGGGCACCCTTCCTCCCACGTGGAGGGTCCCTCGAAGAAGTTGATCTTCCAGGTACCTCCCACAAATGCCAGCCTCAAAATGACATCCTCCAAATTGTTCCAAAAGGACCTAGCCTCAAGGAGGCTCAGGCTCAGATTCCTCGTTCCAGGACCCTGTTGCAGACTGGCTTGGCCTGGGCGAGACAGGGCAGGACACCAGCAGACGCCTGGCCAGTGGCTTGAGAGTGGCTCTTCGGACAGGCCCCCAAGTTGCGTGTCCCTTTTTTGAGGCCACCCCTTTGAGGCTCCCGTTTTTGGGTCTTTGATGTTTTTTTTTGGCTTTTCAGACCAACACGAAGCCCACTGCTCATTTGGGGCGAAAGCTGGGATCCTTCGGCCGGGGCTGCCGGGACCTTCTGCGGCAGGTTTTTGCGCAAAACACCACATGGCTTTTGTGGTTTTAAAGGAGAGAACCCTTTTGGCTGTTCATGGAAACAAATGCAAAGGGCAAACCACTGGTTTTTTCCCCAACAGCTGAAAGCTTTGGGGTCTCAGCCCAGATAGGCTCCGGGGTGGTCCGGGGTAATCAACCTGGCGGGGTTAGAAGGGGTGGGCCCCCCCTTCACATGGGAAGGCGCTTTTTTTTGGTGGGGGGCAAGCAGGAGTACAACCACCATGAATCAACTGGGGCGGTGATTAATTCTGGGTTCTCATTGGGAAACTGTCCCTTTGCAAGATTCTAAGAATGAACCAGAAGAAACCGGCAGGGTGTGGATGGGTCGCTAAGTTGGGCAAAGTCAGGTATGGCACTGTGCGGACTGGCTGACACTCAGAAGGGACAGATGTGCTTGGACTTTCCCCCTTTGGGTTGCATGTTGATTTGTAAGGGAGTTGTGAGTCAAGAGCTTTTGTGGGCTTGCGGGGTTCGTCAAGAATGCGGCCCTTTGGAATGTGTGCCGACTTCCCACGGCCATGACATTTTCGTTGTAAGCGAATGGATCTGGTTGGTGCATGACCTTGTTTCCCGGGCAAAAGTCGAGTGAAGAGGAATCCTAGCAGCGGACTTTTGGATGGATCTGAGGATTGCTGCAGCTGCAAGTGAACACCAACCAGTTTGGCCGAACATTCGAGGATCGCACCCACACCTTCCTTGTCGTGGAAAGGCAGGCATCGAGTTGTCAGTCGGTGACTCCAAGGCTACAATTCGCAGCATGGTCCTCTAGAAAGCAATCTCTTGGGTTGGCGTCATGTCTCACTTGGGACGACAACTTTGGTGGCAAACAACAAGTTCCGGCTTTTTTTGGCCAATCTACTCAGCAATGTTAATCCTAGGGCTTCGCCATCACCAGCTGCGCTGGCCGGTAGAAGAACTCTGTTTTGGCGGGACCTTGTTTCAGAGCCTGACCTCCGGACCTGCTCCGCCGTGTCGCTTGATGTGTGCCTACTTGCGTCCGGCGCTTGCGTCCGGCGCGCGCCGCACGGGTCTCACACCGAAAGCCAATCAGACCAAAAAATGCATCCCCGGCAGCCCGTCCCAGCCCCACAGAAACTCATGGAAAATGAAGCAAAACACGGTATGTGCGATGTTTTCCGCACAGCGGCGGCGGCCACACTTGCGCAAGAAAAAATCGCTGACTCGATCGCAGGCTTGCCCGCCATGTCCGCCTACCGCCAAAACCTACTCTCAGGGGCCCATTTTCAGGGTTTGGGCGATGCAGGGGATGTAAGGGATGCTGGATGCTGGTGATGCAGGAATGACGCGGATGCTGGCGAAGTTTGCGAGGATGCAGAGGATGTTGGCGGGGATGCTAGCGACTGTCCGGGGCGATTTGCGCGGTATTTACAGTGTTTTTTGAAGGTCGGGCAACGTGGCATCAGAAGCCCGTCGCAGGGCCAGGGATGTTGTGGGGTCCAAGTGTTTGGGCCGGCCTGCGTGCAGGTGATGCAGGCAATGCTGAGGAGGAGCTTGTGGTGCAACAAAACACGTCAGCGGTATACCCTACGGGGCCCTCGCTCTTCGAGCTCGAAGACACACAGCGCAGCTGGATTTGCAGGGATGTAAGTGTTGTTGGTTTCTGCGATCCATGGCAATGCCCAACCTGGACTTGAACTGGAAATACTGGTCGCCTCTTCGCATGTTTTGGGCGTACTTTTTAGGGCCTTGGGCTTGAGTGCTGTTGTTACGTATGAATGGCCCAAAACCCACACCCACTGCAAGAGGCGATCTTGCACACATGGGGGGCCTCTATTTTGGCATGAGAGTGACAGATCAGAAGTACGATAAGCGAGTCTTTCAATTTGGGCAGGGCGTGACCACCTAATCTCCCCCAATAAACTCAAGCCAAGGAACCAGTCCCGTTAAATGTGTCACGTGGATCCAACCTTGGGACAGCCGAACAGAACAGCATTGAGCATTGTCCATGGCTGCGTTGTCACATCGGGCATCCTTTTTGAGCGTCCCATTAACAGGCAGCACGAAGCAACAATAGCAGGTCGCAAGGCTGCGTCAGCATTGCAACCGGAGAGCGACCATCAAGCATTTTTTACTTTTTTGGTAACATCATGGCGACATACATATTCAAAGCGTGGAGTATCGAGTTGATGTTTTCAAAAACGATGAAGACCAGGGCAAGCCTATGATTGACCTCCCCCAACATTGTCCGTGGCGAGCATTTGTCGCTTGCACAGCTTCTTTCCAAGTGAAGAGCTCCCTGAAAGCATTTTGTCAGATCGCTTTTCCAGCCAAATCCGCGACAGAGGACACTCACCCGACATCCATGCGAGAGCCTATAAAAGGAACCCCCGAAATTGTTGAACCCAGATTCACAACCGCTGGTTGATGAATGGGGGGTGTCCCTTGTAGAGGGAAAAAGCAAAACCTGAGGGGACACCCTATACAAAGGGACGGGTTCTACTTAGATCCCGGGTCAACATTGCCATTTGGGAAAAAACCTCCTGTGAATAGGGTGTGTCACCCACAAAAGTGATGAATCCCCACAAAACAAAACACACCCAATCAACATCAACAAGGTGTTTATTGATTCGAGGTGCACGTAATTCTGGGTGGCGTCCTGGTTTGCCTCAAGTCCGCGGGCTCCAAGCATTGCCAGACTGGACTGAAAGCGGATTCGTTTTGGCAATTTGAACGGTCCCCTACAAATTAACATGGAACCCAGAAAAGCGTCCACCAAAAAAGATATGTTTGTAAACAAACTGTTTGTTTTCCAGTTCCATGTTAAACTGTAGGGTGCACTGTGTTTGGTAGAGGCTTGGTGCGCACGTCGAGAATCATTGAAGCAATGGACATTGCCTTTTAGTTCCGTGATGTGACTGTGATGCGCAGGCCTGCAGACGTTCCCATGAGCAAGCGGATCGTGAACTACAATGTTCGTGACCTGTCTGCAAGGGTAGCCTCAGCAAAGGACCCCTTGTCCAATGCAGGCGAGGAGGTCCACCAATGTTTCATGTTTGTCGAACTTGCTCTTGCAGCACCCCAGAAATGTAAGTGAGGGTCTGTCGCCGTCTACCCCTTCTTTCAGGGGCCGCTTGAGCAGCACTTTGTATATACATCTATACACACACACACACGCGCACACACACACACACACACCGGCCAGCCGCATCCTTGAATAAAGGAGCGACCGAACAGCTTGGCAAGATGGCAAGTGGAAGTGGGCAGTGATCTCCTTTCGCAATACCCTTTTACATCCTGAGGCTAAACTGCACTCTAGATTCTTGACCACTCCATTTGCCATGACATGGCGACGTCAGCTTCAGCCGGACACTTGCAAGCACTGCGGGCAAGCCGTGAGAGGAACAAGGTTCGACTTTCAGAGTAGATGGCTGCCCAAAGAGCCAACAACTCTTGACTCTCGCGGGATTTACAGCCGAACCCCAAGTTTGATGGGCGATCCGCATGTTTGGGATGTACCTGATCGGGAGCATAAATATCCGTTCCAAGTATGCGAGGATGCCTAGGATATGTTCGGGGAAGTGAAACGAGGGATTCCCGCAATCTAAACGGCATGCCGCTTTGCTGACTCTTCATTCCATACGTGCCATGGTCAAACGACTGTTTGGCAAGCGTTCAACATGTCGAGCAAAAATAAGCCATGATTCTGATATTCTCACAAAGCGCAATCTCATCAGAGCCTGATCCACAAGGGACACACATTCTAGGGTTGACTTGTGTTTGGTGAGCGACCGCTCAATGGAATAGTTCCCTCTAGCATGGAACTAGGCAATTTAGAGCGAGGTCAGCCGAGGTGCGAGGTGGAGCAAATATTTTAAGCGAGGTGATTTAACTAAATTCAGAACAACGAGGTGCACACGTAGATGCAGCAGGAGAGGGTCCCACAGCAGGTAAAAAACTTTTCAGGGCCTAAAAAGTTTTTTTGTACGGTCAGAGGTGATTGTTGGGAAAAATAACTTTTTGGGCCCTGCAAAGTTGTTTTTTCTCATAGTCTTCCCGTAGCCTTCCCGTAGCCTTCCCGTAGCCTTCCCGTAGCCTTCCCGTAGCCTTCCCGTAGCCTTCCCGTAGCCTTCCCAGAGCACCCCTAGTCTCATTGTTTCCGGCAACCCCTCAGCAAAGCCTTGACACAACAAAGGCCAGCCACTTGTTTTTGGCCAGGGTCACATGGAAAGATATTCTGACATTGCTGTCATTTGGGATCCAGCGGTTTGGAGTGGGGAACAAACGGAACGAAATTTCTGGAAACGGCATAGCGGCGGAAAAATGAATAGTTTTGAGAGCTCAATTTAATGAACCATACTGTATTGCATATTGTATTCCATGTATATAGCAGACTTGTACTAGGACATTGTATTGGTGTTTGCGAGCTGGGGCTGCCAAAGTTTCCTGTAGCGCACTTGTACTGGGACGCGGCGTTGTTGTTGGCAAGCTTGGGGCTAAGCGCAAAATAAACTTTTCAGGGCTTGTAAAGTTGTTTTTCAGCACTCCAGGCAGCTATCCGGGGCTGCCAGCCCTCAGAATGGAAATATGCGACCTTGCAGGCAGCTAGCGGCCGCAAACGTGAAAAGTAAACTTTTCGGAGCTTGAAAAGTTTTTCAGATTTTTTCAGCGCCTCCAACGGCTATCCGCGTTCTGGACTCGTACTACAAAATTGTGATTTTCGCGCTGGAGCTGCGGAAGCGTACTTTTTTGTACTTGGCTTGTACTACGAGTCGTGGAAGCGCGCTTCTTGCACTAGGCTTGTGCTACAAAATTGAGCTTTTCGAGCTGGAGCTGTGGAAGTGTACTGGAACGTGTCATTGGTGTCGGAAGGCTCGGGGCTGCCAAAGGCGCAAAATAAACTTTTCGGAGCCTGAGAAGTTTTTGGGCACTTTAGGCAACTATCCGCGTGCTAGACTTGTACTACAAAGTTACGATGTGACGAGGGATTTAACGAGGTGACCACGGATTTAACGAGGCGAGGCGCACACTCCAAAACCTTATTTAACAACGAGGTGACGAGGTAAGATTTATTGTAAATTGCCTAGATGGAAGCGAAGGGGCTCCCCCAAGTCGTTTTTGCCATGTCGTACGCTGAAAGCTGTCAGGCGGCATCGTGGAGTGATTCACACCCCATTGTCCCGGTTTGCAAGGGAAATCTAACCCAAACCGACAACCCTCCATTCCATTCTCTTCCTAGATGTTTGCTTTTGAGCCACGCCTAGATGGGTGTGTCCTTTTCGGGCACTGGATGAGAAACTGAAAAAAAAGCAAAAGCAAGCCAGTTGGGGTCGATGAAACTCACTTCTTGAGTTCGCGGACTTTAGCCACTTTTTGGGAAGGCCATTTTAGTTGTCAACAAGTTCAGACTTTTTGGGCCATTCTACTGGATTGGAAGTGAGGACGCCCTTCATTTTGAGACAAACCCAAGATCTATCGACAGCTGCAGCCTGCACGCGTCAGGTGGGCGCCGGGGCAACATCGTTCAGGTCTACCCCTCCGTGGAGTACGACTTCATCCCAGCGAATCTGGTGGTGGAGCGCCTCGATCCGCGATTTTTTCGATTTTGCCTCGATGTTTTTTCTTTCTTTTTTCCCGGGGGGGGGGAGCTGTCCTCGCAACGAATCAGCTTCCTTTGCTAGTTGGTGGTTTGGATGGGTGGTTAAGGAGGGAGTTCCCATTTACCTTTACAAGACCCAGAGATTCAAACCCCCAAACCACCAATCCAAACCACCAACTAGAGGGAAGCTGAAAATAGGCGAAGCCTCCAAAATGGCGCATCGGCTTTCCTTTGGTGTCCATTCAACTCAAATAAAGGGTCCGAGAGGGGACACGAGTCTATGCGATGCAAAGACAAAGCAAAACAAGGGCTAGAAGGAGGTTGCAACATAGACCCGTAGGGTCCTCTTTTGCTTTTCGCTTAGCGTCCTTGTGAACAAACCGCCTGGATACATTCGTACCTTAAGGAGTGCAGCAAATATAAAATTGTGAGGGTCCGGGTTTGATTGGAAGAATTGGGGAAGGTCATGCAGCTGGGCAGGTATGTATTGCAGATGCAGCAGCCAATATGTCCCCCGTATGCGGTTTTGCCTGATGCAAGTGCTCATGCTTGAAGGATGCTTTCTTTGGCATGTTGTTCATGAGAAGCCCATCCATTTCCGGTGAAAATTAGATGGATACAAAGTGTACTAGGGTGGGTACAGGTCCGTTTTCACCTACATGGGGGCTCCCACACAACTGGGTTCCTTCCATTTTTGATATGTGTATATGTATACAGAAAATACATATGTACATATATTCTGTCTTTAGAGGGAAAGGGAAAGAAGGACAAGCTTTGCTTGGGTATCCTATTCTTGGAAGCAGCCACATACACGAGCCACCCATTAATGGAACCCACCGGCCAGGCAGGGAACTTTGCTGCACTTCCAGTGGACGGGCTCCGACGCCAACAACAACAACAACGCAGGTGGGACCAGGTCCCGTTTAAAAAAACGTTTTGGCTGTGGGTCAAAATTAAACCACAGGGGACCCACATGGCTGGGTGTGGCTCACAAAATAGGAATCGTCCCAAACTGGAACCCTGGTAGATGGAACAAAATCGACTTCAGACCTTCGGTCCTCTGGGTCTTGAATTTTGAGCCAGACCCATTTGGGCCAGTTCAGCTCATTTCGAGGCTTCCCGGACGCGAAAGCACGGGGTTGTGGATCCATGGAGAACCTCTTAACCAAGGGTTTCAGGGCGTTGGATGTGAGGGCTGGACACTGTGTGCTTTGAACCTGCATACAGATTCTCCAGTTTAATTGGAGACAGTGTAAATCCAAACCCAGCGAGCCAGACAACCCAGCGAGAACAAACCGAGTTTGATGCCGGTGTGTTTTTTCCCCAACAGCTGAAAGCTTGCCCAGATAGGCTCCGGGGTGGTCCGGGGCGGCCCTGAGGTAAGGTTCCACGAGGGTTCCACCAGGGTTCCACGAGGGTTCCACGAGGTTCTGCGAGGGCTGCGGGGTGGCGCGAGCACTAAAAAGAGCACCGCATGCTGTTGGGGATATCACCTGAGCTTTTCTTTAGTAGGCCTTTTTGTTTCTGCGTGATGATCGGCTTGATGGATCTTTCCTTCAAGGCCCTTAACGGTCATGGATTATGTGCCTAAAGGAGAACCATCATGTATGGGGGGTGGGGGACGTCCCCAAAAAAATGACACAAGTAGTTGTTGTTTTGCCTTTCTGCGCACAGCCACGGGGGTGTCGAGTGGTTGAAGCTATTGACTTGAACAAGTGCGTTTTGAGCTCATTTGACCTTCAACCCTTGGCCCAGATCTGGTGCTCTGAGGCAAAGGGCTTTTCAAGGTGCCACTGGGTCAGACAATTTGAGCTCTTTTGGTCCTGTGGGGCAACTTACCATTCAGAGAGGGAGCAGAAGAGCAGCGCTTTGACAATAAAACACAATGGAACTGGAGTCGGAACTACTCCCCTGACAAAATATGTGTGTTGAATTCAGTCGAGTGACCCCTAGAGAGGTAGAATTCTTAGAATGGATGGATCAACACACCCGCACCATGTGGCACTGGCTTAGAACACATGTCCCATGGGCGAAAGACCCTCTTTGCGGGCAGTGTCATGGCAATGGAATGCAATTAATTTTTTGGGGTAGCCAGGAATCTGTGCGCATAGCACTAGAAACAACTCTGGCGTCCGCACATCTCTAAGATCATTCAGCAGCGCCCATTACGAGACGTCTTGCAAGGGATGTTTTCTTGCCGCGTTGCCGAAAGTTTCGGGAGCCTTAAAAGTCGTCGAGAGGTGGTTTCCACCCGGGAGTGATTGGAGAAGGGAAAAAGTTCCTTTAAGAGGTGTCCCTTTGCAAAGTTCTTCGAGGAGGTAGGTGAGTGTGTTTGTTTTGGGGTGGACCCCCCGAAAGGGAAACGGAAAAATGGATTTGTCGGTTTCTGTTTTTGGGTTTTCCTTCAAAACCCACAGAAAAGGGTTCGCTGAAGAACAAACACACCCACACACACACAGGTCCTCGGGAGTTGTACGCTTTGAGGGGTGGGATGTCAGGCAATGGCCGTGCGGGCACGGACCGCTCCAACCTGGTCCAGGTGGGGGTGAACACTCCGAGCAACCGAAAGGAGATTGGGGTTTAATGAGTACATGCATTGCCCCCGATTTACTTGACCTGAAATGTTGGAGCTAGTACCAACGGGAAAATTGTCAAAGCGCGACTTCAGGAGGGCACAAAAGACGGGGCACAAGATGTGGCGCGCAAGGAATAGTATGGGTGTCTCATTTTTTAGGGCGCCCCCAAAAAAGAACACAAACAGGCATCGCTGTTCCTGAGGGACTTCATTTTTTAATATATATATATATATATATACATTTTGGAGAGGCAAGGCTGCCGATGTATCTTTGCAAGTAGAAAGCTCGGCGTTTTTGTATTGTGTTTCTTGGTTTCGTTGGGTTTCACGTGGTTTCTCTTGGGTTCCCGGCTGCCTTGCTTGGGCAGTCTATCCTGAAATCAAGGAGTATCCGTTTTTGTCCAGCCGAGTGATGCCTCGGAGGTGCAGTCCCGCTCCGAGACCGTACCCCTGCCCATCGAGAAGCCACCCGGCGGCTTCGCTCCGGCATGCATCGATTTTCCTGGCATGGCTTCCGCCACGGTCGAATCGCAGTAGGTTTATCAAAAGGGTGCGTCCATCAACTGCAAAGTGGATGTTGCCCATCAGTAGGTGGATCCCTTGTCACTTTGGTTGAACATAGCTGTTTTCGAGCCCAAAGGTGACATTTAGTGCCTCCTTTGAAGGGGCTTTTTAACAAGCAGGCGGGTCCAACCAGACAGTTCCTTGCTCCAGCCAGTGAGTCACTGAATGTGTTGTTCAATTCTATCCGAACTGATTTGGGCAAGGTTTAGTCCATTTATTTGGTTGCCTCCGGGGGTCAACCTGTTGTTCCGATTTTCCTTTGAGGCCGCCTCTGTCATTTGTGCTGAAAGGTGGCGACAAGGCCTTCATAAACCAGCGGCCGCCTTTGGGCACGATTGCAGTGGTCACCACCCCTCAAAGGCTCAAAGGCGGTGCTTGTATCAAGGGCCAGGCATGAGAAAGTGTGGTTTGGTTGCGTAAGAATTTGTCTGATGGAGTGC